AGACCCTAGGCCTATGGGTGTCGGGTTTCTTTACCGAATTATCCACGCTACGACTCTTTTTTTAGGGTTCGGGGCATTAGGGTATCGGCTATCCTCTTTGGGTACCTGTCGGTAAGGGTATAGTGGAGGATTTGTTGTAAAAGGGTGGACGGTTACATAACAGAGGTTGAACTAGTGTGTACATGGGTGGGGAAGTGGTGTATATATGTAGCGAACGGGTGTACACGGGTGAGGTGATGTACATGGGTAGTGGACTGGTGTACGTGGGTGGTGGATTTGTGTACATGGGTTGTGAACTTTTGTACATGGTTGTTAGACTGGTGTGCATGGGTAGTGGACTGGTGTACGTGGGTGGTGGACTGGTGTACATGAGTGGTAGACTGGTGTACAAGGGTGGTGGACTGGTGTATATGGGTAGTGGACTGGTGTACGTGGGTGGTGGACTGGTGTACGTGAGTGGTAGACTGGTGTACAAGGGTGGTGGACTGGTGTATATGGGTAGTGGACTGGTGTACATAGGTGGTTGGCTGGTGTACATGGATGGTAAACTAGTGTACATGGATAGTAAAAATTAACTGTTCTGAACAGTTGCATTTAATAGGATGAATAATGGAAATGAACAGAGGGATCAAATTTGGAGTTAACATGAGAGTACTGTGAGCCAGAGTCTAACATGGGAGAATAGTGAAGCAGAGTCTAACATGGGAGTATAGTGAAGCAGAGTCTAACATGGGAGTATAGTGAAGCAGAGTCTAACATGGGAGTATAGTGAAGCAGAGTCTAACATGGGAGTATAGTGAAGCAGAGTCTAACATGGGAGTATATTGAAGCAGAGTCTAACATGGGAGTACAGTGAAGGGTCTAACGTGGGAGTACAGTGAAGGGTCTAACATGGGAGCACAGTGAAGGGTCTAACATGTGAGTACAGTGAAGGGTCTGACATAGGAGTACAGTGAAGGATCTAACATGGGAGTACAGTGAAGGGACTAACATGGGAGTACAGTGAAGGGACTAACATGGGAGTACAGTGAAGGGACTAACATAGGAACACAGTGAAGGGACTAACATGGGAGTACAATCAAGGGACTAACATGGGAGTACAGTGAAGGGACTAACATGGGAGTACAGTGAAGGGACTAACATAGGAACACAGTCAAGGGACTAACATGGGAGTACAGTGAAGGGACTAACATGGGAGTACAGTCAGGGGACTAACATGGGAGTACAGTGAAGGGACTAACATGGGAGTACAGTGAAGGGACTAACATGGGAGTACAGTGAAGGGACTAACATGGGAGTACAGTGAAGGGACTAACATGGGAGTACAGTGAAGGGACTAACATGGGAGTACAGTGAAGGGTCTAACATGGGAGTATAGTGAAGGGACTAACATGGGAGTACAGTCAAGGGACTAACATGGGAGTACAGTGAAGGGTCTAACATAGGAACACAGTGAAGGGACTAACATGGAGTACAGTAAGGACTAACATGGGAGTACAGTGAAGGGACTAACATAGGAAACAGTGAAGGGACTAACATGGGAGTACAGTGAAGGGACTAACATGAGATACAGTGAAGAAACTAACATGGGAGCACAGTGAAGGGACTAACATGGAGTACAGTGAAGGGACTAAAATGGGAGACAGTGAAGGGACTAACATGGGAGTACAAGTGAAGGGACTAACATGGGAGTACAGTGAAGGGACTAACATGGAACAGGTGAAGGACTAACATGGGAGTATAGTGAAGAAACTAACATGGGAGTACAGTGAAGGGTCTAACATAGGAACAGAGTGAAGGGACTAACATGGGAGTACAGTGAAGGGACTAACATGGGAGTACAGTGAAGGGACTAACATGGGAGTAAGTCAGTGAATGGGAGTAAGTAAACATGGGAGTACAGTGAAGGGACTAACATGGGAGTACAGTGAAGGGACTAACATGGGAGTACAGTGAAGGGACTAACATGGGAGTACAGTGAAGGGACTAACATGGGAGTACAGTGAAGAAACTAACATGGGAGTACCGTGAAGGGACTAACATGGGAGTACAGTCAAGGGACTAACATGGGAGTACCGTGAAGGGACTAACATGGGAGTACAGTCAAGGGACTAACATGGGAGTACCGTGAAGGGACTAACATGGGAGTACAGTCAAGGGACTAACATGGGAGTACCGTGAAGGGACTAACATGGGAGTACAGTCAAGGGACTAACATGGGAGTACAGTCTGAGAGAAGTCATCACACATGCACTAGTGAGAATGTTCAACCAGCAATAAACACCATCTGTACAAAATACATTTGCAAATAAAAAATGTTCACCCTTTACCCGTTGCTTAAATTAAAGTTCACTAATTAAGATCCAGGTAATTTACACCTGTGATTGATTACATATTTAATGAAAGTTGGGTAAATAACGATGTAAAAAAGTCATTTACAGTAAGTAAATGGCGTAGTATTTACATCTTCCGAGGAAACGGCGCTTCTTTTTAGCCTTCCTCCCGAATTTACAGATTTATTAATGTGTTTATAATGTTACAAGTATTGTGTATTTTTTTTTAAATCTGGTACAAAAAACATCGGTAGTGATGGACACAATTTATGCAAGGAAAAACATGGTTATGATTGATTTTGTTACTAAAAATCTTTAATCCAGCAGATTTGAATGCCGGGGCACACACCAGGCTTAGCAAGCTGGGGCACACACCAGGCTTAGCAAGCTGGGGCACACACCAGGCTTAGCAAGCTGGGGCACACACCAGGCTTAGCAAGCTGGGGCACACACCAGGCTTAGCAAGCTGGGGCACACACCAGGCTTAGCAAGCCGGGGCACACACCAGGCTTAGTAAGCTGGGGCACACACCAGGCTTAGTAAGCTGGGGCACACACCAGGCTTAGCAAGCCGGGGCACACACCAGGCTTAGTAAGCTGGGGCACACCCAGGCTTAGTAAGCTGGGGCACACACCAGGCTTAGCAAGCCGGGGCACACACCAGGCTTAGTAAGCTGGGGCACACACCAGGCTTAGTAAGCTGGGGCACACACCAGGCTTAGTAAGCTGGGGCACACACCAGGCTTAGTAAGCCGGGGCACACACCAGGCTTAGTAAGCTGGGGCACACCCAGGCTTAGCAAGCCGGGCACACACCAGACTTAGCAAGCTGGGGCACACACCAGGCTTAGCAAGCTGGGCACACACCAGGCTTAGCTAAGCGGGGCACACACCAGGCTTAGAAGCTGGGGCACACACCAGGCTTAGTAAGCTGGGCACACCCAGGCTTAGCAAGCGGGGCACACACCAGGCTTAGTAAGCGGGGCACAACCAGACTTAGCAAGCTGGGGCACACTCCAGGCTTAGCAAGCGGGGCACACACCAGGCTTAGCAAGCTGGGGCACACGCCAAACTTAGCAAGCCGGGGCACACACCAAACTTAGCAAGCTGGGGCACACACCAGGCTTAGCAAGCTGGGGCACACACCAGGCTTAGCAAGCTGGGGCACACACCAGGCTTAGCAAGCTGGGGCACACTCCAGGCTTAGCAAGCCGGGGCACACACCAGGCTTAGCAAGCTGGGGCACACTCCAGGCTTAGCAAGCCGGGGCACACACCAAACTTAGCAAGCCGGGGCACACACCAGGCTTAGCAAGCTGGGGCACACACCAGGCTTAGCAAGCCGGGGCACACACCAGACTTAGCAAGCTGGGGCACACACCAGGCTTAGCAAGTGGGGCACAATCCAGCTTACAAGCGGGGCACCACCAAATTAGCAACCGGGGCACATTTACCCAGTTAGCAAGCCTGGGCACACCCAGGCATTAGCAAGCTGGGACACACACCAGCTTAGCAAGCTGGGGCACACGACAAACTTACAAGCCGGGGCACACACCAATTAGCAAGCTGGGGCACACCCAGGCTTAGCAAGCTGGCACAACCCCAGGGTTAGCAAGCGGGCACACACCAGGCTTAGCAAGCTGGGGCACACACAGGAACTTAGCACTTGGGCACACTCCAGGCTAGCAAGCCGTGCACCACCAAACTTAGCAACCGGGGCACACACCAGGCTTAGCAATCGGGCACACACCAGCTTAGTCACTGGGAGCCACACCAGGGCTTAGCAAGCGTGCACACACAACTTTAGCAAGCGGGGCACACCCGGCTTAGCAAGTAGAAGGCTTGAAGGTCTTAACACCCTCAACGCAGTTCACCTCACAGTTATTATTCACAGCTATACCTCACAGTTAAACTCACAGTTACACCTCACAGTTGCACTTACAGCTACCCTCAGCAGTTACACCGAAGTTACCCCCAGTACACTTCAGGTACACCTCACAGTGTTTGCATTAAGCACAGCCTGCAAGTTGCACCCTTTCGCACCTCACAGTTACACTCAACGTTAGCCCAAGTTTCACCTCGTTAGTCATGTAATATCTCCGCCTGACAGACGAGAGCAAATCTAGGTAAACTTGATTTCCTCTTCGCTATTCATCTCTCACAGAAGCTCTGCTTCCAGAACTTACGGGGATGCAAACGTTACGCTAAAAATCAGTAGTTTCCTGTGTGACGCACCAGGCTGTCGTGTAGAATTGGTCTGAAATTATTCGTTTAATGCGGGGAAGTTTTGCTAGAGCATTCAGTCCCCCTAACTGAAGGATATTTGAGGCACGTTGCCGTAATTCAGCTACATTGCCGCCAACGCATCTCTACCACGTGTTTTTCATCCCTTACCATCGCGTATATCTTTCACTGACTTATATTTGTTTTGAGATTTCAGAGTTAGTCTGGGGTGGGAAGTTTATCCTTGGAAGAGGGAGCTTTTCTGGAATGGGTGATTTACTCTGGGTAATGGGTGTAGTGTAGCTATTGTCGGCAGTCAGTTGTTGAGAGTTGGTGATCACCCACTTGGAAAGATGCCCCAGCCTCTATTGCTCTCGAATATTAATTCAACGTTGGCTGGAAGTTGGTTATCTGTTAGTGATGGGAATTATCTTCCCCACAGCACGGTCACAGACTAGGTAATTATTTATTTCGTAATCCAACTTAACCTCTGTTAAATCACAGGATGGAGAAACGTTGCCTCATTAAAATGTTGCATTAGTTTCGCTTGTGTTCTTCTACCTGGCTGGTAATTGTTTTGTGCGAATGGTCTAATTATTTTTTTATTATAATTGCATTTTCTATGCAGTTATTCCCTCTTATTACTAAGGATATTTGTCGTGAGTGACACGTTGCTCAGTGGAAGTGTTCAGCTGACACCCATATATCACTTCCTTATCATCCCTACCACTGCTGTTTATCATCCATATCATTACCATCTCTTCCTTTCTTTTCACTTTGACTTAATTGAGTTATCTCATATTGTGAACGCCTTTGAGTGGAATGAAGTTTCAAGACTGTTTACGTCTGATTGAAAAGTTTCCAAATCTGTATTTTTTGGAAGGTAGGGAGCTGGGTGTTGGGATTTATTATTATATTTATGGGGAAATACTGTTAGGGTCATGCAGCGATTGGGAATGGGAGATAATCAGGTTTGATTCGAGGAAAGTGTGGGTGACTCTACTCCCTTGGATCAAGAGCCCTTCCAGCCTCATTCTCCCTCCCTTGAATAGGAAGTTAATGTGCAATCCTTATGATCAATGAAATGCATTCTGTTAGATGTTGCTTGCGGCCCCTGACGAGTGTTCTTGTGTGTTGCAGGTTGTGATGGCAGGACGGCGCAGCTGGTGACTCTGCAGACATGCTTGCCACGGCTGTGATGCCCCTGGCCAGCCTCCTGCTCCTGCTGGTGGGGACCACCTCCTCCAGGGCGCAGGTGGGCCTCCGCACAGCTCCCCTCACCGCTCCCAGGATTCGCGACTACAGCAACAGCAGCAGCCTGGGACTCTTCTCCTCAAAGTGGTCAGGGATGGACCTGCGCCACAAGGGCAACAACACCAGCAGTATCGAGAGCTCCCTGGCTGCTATCTTCAGAGGTGTGGCCTACGGCGTCTCCACCAGCCAGGCCGCTTCCTCCACTACAACCACCTCCACTTACCGTCCTCCACATCCCACCTCTTACAGGAGGCCCCTGGACCTTCCCCCGAGGGATGACCACGGGTATCTAGCCTCGGGGCCGCCTGCATGGTCGTCACAACCGGGTTTGGAGCTGGAGGTGCAGCAGAAGGCTGTGACGGACCAGAGGGGCGTCAAGAGCCTGGGTAACCGGCCGGTTCAGACGCCGTATATAGAGGTACCCATCAATACCGCACCGGAGGTCAGCCACGACCAGATGATGGACGTACCTCCGGAGAGGTCCGTCGAGGTGGTGCGGGCGGATGTGGGCGTGGGATTGAGCAAGGTGGCGTGGGTGCGAGCCCTGGGCACGGCGTGGGTGGTGCACGTGTACTGCGCCGCAGGGCTGTACAGTCTGCTGGCGCTGCTGGCGCTGTTCTGGCTAGCACGTGTACACGCTGCTACCCACCTCCTGCCCCGGGGCTACTACATCACCCTTCACCTCCTCATGTTCCTCGCAGCCTTCCTGCGCTGTGTCCATCTCTTCCACGACCCTTACGGTGCCGAGCGACGCCTCCCTGTGGCCCTCTCAGCCGTGGTGGAAGAGACCGGCTGGCCCTGTCTGACGGCGGCGCTGGCAGTGGTGGTGCTGGCTATTGTGAGGGCATGGCGCTGCCCACGTCTTCTGCCCCGCAAACCTCATGCCCCGTTGGCCCTCGCCCTCCTCACCGCCGCCCATCTTCTAGCATCTATCGCCGCCCACTTGACTTCTGCATTGTTGCCTGAACACGCTGGCCCACTGCGGGCAGCTGCCCGGGCAGTTACAGCAGCCTGGGGTGGCGCTGTTGGTATCGGTGGATTTCTGGCCGTCTGGCGGGTTGGTCGCGCAGCCGGGCGCCATCCTGGCCTCCTGCTGGTGCGACTGAGTCGAGCTCCTATGGAAGGGTCTCTCCCTGCCCGCCACCCCCGCGTGGCGCTCCTGCGAGGCTCCCACCTCACCCTGGTGGCCTCTCTCCTGCAGGTGGTTGTGGCTGGCCTTCACATGTATGCCCTGGTGGGACCTCACTACATCCTTGAGCTCCCTCCAGCGTACCCCTGGCACTGGCTGGCCTACCAGAGCACCTGTCGCCTGTTGGAGGTGCTCATGTGGGTGCTGCTGGGGGTGACTTCGGTGCTCAGGCTGGGGGGCTCTTCGGGAAAGCGGCAGAACCACAAGGGCGAGAAACGGCTCCTCTCGGTGCTATCTTGTAGGAGGTGTGGTAGCTGCTCCAGCATCACAGCTCAGGACAAGGTGGATGAAGTGTTCCCCGCTGTCTGCCAGACTAATCAAGCTGTGAGGAACTTCACATTGCAGTCCTGCGGGAAGGGTGTATACCAAGAGGCACTGACTCAGGAGCCTCTAGCGCGCAGGGCCAACACTGTCCGGGTGACCCATAAGAGGCCATCGATACGTAAGTCGGCTACTTTGCACTCGGCCACCTCTGACATTCACCTTCTGTGGAATCATGGCAACACTCTCAGTGCCCTTCCTCCGGATGCTTCATCAAGACCTTCATCAATGCTATTTAACGACGCTGGCTTCGTTAGGTTCAGGATGCAGGTGGACCCCCAGCAAGCCATGGACGAGGTCCTCCGCAAGTCCCTACAAAACCTGGAGATCCAAGCTGAGGCCGGCGACTCGAAACTCCAGCAGGTCCCGAAGGATGACCCACCAAGCTATGATCAGAGCCTCTACGCCAACACTCCCCAGCCAGGAGAAAAATCTCCATCGGCAAAATCTAAAAGTTCTCCCAGGTATGAGGACCCATATGACAGCAACCAGTTCGAGCACTTGTTGCAGAATCGTATCAACTCCGATCTGTACTGCGGTCTGGATAACAGGCACTGCAGGAGTGAAGCCGCCAGTGTCACAGACTACAGTTCTACGGACGCTCTTTCTCCTGCAGCTACTGCAGATAATGAATGGTCTAAATACGCCAGCACCTGTTCTTCCATCAGCGCTGCCAACAGCTTCGATGTACGCATGTATGATGACTTCGAAGTGGCTTCGTATTACCAGTCACCCTCGTCTGCTTCCTCGCATGTATATGCTTCTTTACACCGGCCTGTGGCACGTGCACGCCTGGCTCGCCAGAGAGCAGTGTACGGTGAGGGCGAGTCTGTCGTGCACGGATACGAGGGCCGACAGGCTGTAGAGCAGTTAACGGCACTGCTTGCGCCTCGAACCTCATCTACCTCGCCTCAGTCTGACATCCACGTAGATTACCTGACGGACGGCTCCCACGATCGTCACACACGTGGCTCTGACTCCGACCTCTGCTCTACCGGCAGTCGTCATACACGGCACAGTCGAAAACATGACGACGAGCGACAGTCACCAGGAAACTGGCGACAACCTCACTCCCGTCGTCTTAACCTGCACGACATCACACCAGACTCGGCCGTGGTCGTGGACTATGCTGGCCACACTGACGAAGCCTCTGGCGATGATAGCGAGGTGATACACCGTCCGGGACAGCCTCTTACCCAGAGGTCCGGACTCCTCACTAAAATAGTAAAGAATAACTTTTCTTTAAACTGTACTGGGTATACGCCTTTAGGCAGTGAAGACGTCTTCAATCTGCCATTACACCACCAGCAGATTCTGCTAAAGCAGGTGCAGCAGCAGAACCTTCAGCAGCGGAATTTAGCTGAGGAGAAGTGTGAGAGGCTGAGGCCCTGTGGCCACCGTCCCCGGAGGGTCCTCAGAGAGGACCCTAAAGTTACCAGCCCTGTGAAACCATCTGTCCAGAACCGCAAGCACTCTCCCAGCGAGCAGCCATTGAAGCAGCTGCAGCTACTACCGAGCCAGCAGGAGGAGCCCAGCAGCCTAGAGCAGGATTCTGTCGGTGTGACGGACGGGACGACACAGACGGAGCCACGGGTATGGCCCGCTCTCTCTCCTTCCTCCTCCCGCCCCGCCTCCTCCCTGGCCTCACACTCTGATCTACCCTCTGAGTGCGTCGACTCTGAAGACGACGTGACCGACGATAACCAAGAGAACCCCAGTGGCCTCGATGTCCACCAAGAGGTGCCACCTCTAGCTGCCTGGCACTCCCCGACGCGTCTCCAGGCGGCTGTGTGACCTCGGGTGACCCGGGGAGCTAATGGCAGCTCCTCGAGGATCCTCGTCCACACACGAGGGAGAAGTCGTAGTCTACCAGTCACAGCAAGAGACTTCAGGGCTTTCTCGGCTAAGCACATCCCTCAAATACGACAGCGATCGGAACAAGCTCGGTGAAGATGCCAGAGTTTGAGGACAGTACCATCTCGTGTGTCATGCGCTGGGTAACTTGGCCTGGACTGTGTCGCAGCTCAGACGTGCAGGTACTCACAGACAACAGACTGCTCAGTGACTTTGTGATAACGTTGTCAAGAAGGGAACTCATGTCAAGGCTCAGCAGCTTCTGCCATTTTTGTACATAGCAAACATTTTTTTTCCTTATTGTTGGGGCAGGAATGTGTTTTCTTCCTAAGGGTGTTATTTGTGAGCGTATACAGCCAGTTTGTCCACAGATTAGTGTTAACATTGACTTTAATGAGAAACAAGCAAGAAGACTGTGAGTGTGTGACAGTGCTTCTCATCATCATTGCCAAGACTGCGTGTGTTTTCTCAAGTGTGTTGTCTCCTATGGCAGATATACACACTCCTATTAGCCCTAAGTTACGAGGGTGATTGATTTACCTAATCAGTCGAGTATAAGCCCTTTATGTGATATTAAAACCATACGATGAAGGGTCGTGGTCAGAAAGTGTCGGGTCAGCTTCACTGCTCAGTTGATTTGAAAAGTTTATTCTCCCCCCTCCCCCTAGGGGCAGATGACCCCCAAAGGGTTTAGCGCTGCGCTGTGAAAATTTAATATGACTTTTTTTCACTTCCTTGCTACTTACTAACGCCACCCAATAAATTCTCAATCTATAAATTCTAAAATGAATTTCGTGTATGAATGTTAATACATAAGAAGGCTTAACATCAGTCAGTTATTTCCACCATAACAGCGATTAGCGAATGAGTGATCGAGCCTACACTACTAATTGCGGTGAATAGCCCTTTGATATACAAAGCAGTATTGTCTTGCACATCGTGAGGTTCTAAAGCCATATGTGTAAATCAGCACAATAAGAAGATAAGACTCGATCCTCCGTCCACTAATTGCGATCCAGACTTTAAGCAGTTAGACTCTTGCTGGATATTTAATAGCGATGTTTAAGCCAGTTTAAATATCAGCAGTTTCTAATATGAGAACAACAACTGGAGCACAATGTTACAACGCTCAGAGCCATGATGGAACTTCTGTGTTTGTGCTAATTACTGCCTGCCTTTTCGATTACCTCTGCTTTTGAGTGCACCAATGCAAGTGCTCTCTCTCTCTCTCTCTGTGTCTCTCTCTGTCTCTGTCTCTCTCTCTCCCTT